CCCCCCCCCCCCCCCCCAAAAAAAAAAAAAAGTCTATTGTTGTAGGATTGCAGACTAACAGGAATGTTTTTGGAAAGCAATTCTAGTACTTTGTCGGTTCCTTTAACCAAGAATAATTTCATCAACCATTCTGTTTAAGACTCGTGTAAAATATTGGTTTTCCTCTGCACATTCTCCAGGATGTCAGGCAGGTCTAGCAGGGCGTTACCCATAAGTGCTGCTGTATTAATTCATGTACAAACTCACAAAATCTAGGATGCAAATCTCATACTGTGTATATCTCATACTGTGTTACAGGATGTGGCTAGAGAATAATAGATTCTCATGGCAGCATAAAAGTGCCCCCAGAAGTGGAAAGCCTGCATTACAAAACTTTCTTCATACTGAAATTGTAATCTTTTTTTTTCTCTAAAAAGATAACCAACCTGTGTGCAGAGGAAGCAGCAGCTCAGGAACAAACTGGACAGGTGGAAGAATGTCTGAAAGTTAATCTGCTCAAAATTAAAGCTGAAATGTGTAAAAAGGTAAGGAAAATAACATTTCACAGAAGTTTAGGGCTGGAAGGGACCTCATGAAATCACTGGGTCCATCTCCTCCCCCTTCTGCCCTCCCTGCACTGGGCAGGAAAGACTGCTAGAGTTGAATAACCCCAGCAAGATGTGCATCCAGTCTCCTTTTAAAGATCTCCAGGGTAGGTTGCCTACACCACTGCCACTGGGAGTCTATTCCAGAGTCTGGTCACACAAACCATGAAGTTTTTCCTTATATCCGGTCTGAAACCTTCTAGGTATTTATGACCATTGTTCCTGGTTTTCCCCTGGGGTGCTTTGGTGAACATTTGTTTGCCTAGCCCCTGATGCTCTTCCCTGATATTGGTAAGCTCAATATCTCTTAAACTGAACAAGACCCAAAGTGGCTATGCTCCTGACAGATGTAAACACTTACGGAAATGACTCATTTTGTGACACACAAGGGTTTGTTGTAGTGTGAAGCCACAACTGTGCAGAATTCCAGTTCACCTTTTTCTTAATTTGGCAGTATCCTTTACTTTTTGGTACTAGGCTTTGCCACAGATCTGTCAGTGGCCTTCAAGCCTAATATATGGTGTGTTCCACTATTGTCTGTTGTCTTGCATCCTCACACTCATTACTGCCGTTGTCTCAGTTAATGACCCAGACAGCCTACTGATGTTTTCAGTCCCCAGTGCCTTGGGTACAGACTGACACTAGCAAAAAGCTGTGCAGGCTGCCCCCAACTGCCTAATGAGTCCTGTCAAGTCATGGCTTTGACTTGTAGATTACAGCATGTATGTGGTGAATTGAACCATGCTGATCTTACAGCAGGATCTTTAATCCAGCCTACAAAAGGATTGTTCTCTGTGTTCCCTATTTAAGACTATAATTCTCAATCATGACGCAGCACTGGCTTTGTTCTCCATCCTTTTAATGTGCATCTGTAATATTCCACAGGAGGTGCTCAACATGTTAAAGGAGAGCAAAGCGGACATATTTGTTGACCCAGTGCTGCACACAGCCTGTGCCCTAGACATCAAACACCACTGTGCTGCCATCCCACCAGGGAGAGGACGCCGTAAGTGTTGGTGCTTCATTTATATGATCTCCCTGCTCAATGATGACCTAAAATTTGGATCCAACTTGGAAGTGTCTGAGGTTCTTTTAAATAACAGGTACTACTGTCAGTTTTTTGTGGCTGCTTGAAAGAAGTGCACAGCCACCTTTATGGCAGCAAAGGGTCTTTGCTGTCTGAGTTTGGATGTCTTGCTTAAAAGTTCTGGTAAATGATGGTAAGCTGGTTTAGATCTTGTGCATTCAGCTTTTTGTTAACATACTCCTCTTGGACCAGGGTTAATTCACACTAGTTACAGAAAGAGTTATGTTTCTGTCCCATGTAATGCAAGACTATGCTGGTTGACCAAGTTGATGACCCTTTTAACCTGACTCTGGGTGAACACACAACATCCATGGAACACAAAATATTGCAAAGGATTCATCTGATAGTGCCTTTATATGGACAACCTTTCCAAATAAATCAGCCCATCTAATTCAAGTGAGACTTCTGACAGGCTGCATGGGCTCAAGCTGATCTTTCTGTGATGTCTTGAGCTGAACCTGACTTTTTAGTGAGAGTTAAGAACATAGGAGTTAAAACAAGTCACCTGTTTTCTTAAATAAAATATGCAGTAAGTTGTAGTGTGCTATACTTTGGATATGTAATACCAACTCTTTAATTCCCCTACAATAGTCAAAATTTATTGCCCCTTAAAACAGTGGCCAGCAACCTTACAGGCCATGGGTCAGAACAACCTGGCTCTGGTCCAGCATGGGCTAGGTAGCTTTGGTGCATGAGCAGCAGGGAACTTTCCCTGTGCTACTCCAGGGTCAGGCAGCTGGGAGCTATGTCTATACCACCACTGCTGCTC